AATCTCTATTTGGCCTGCTCTCTTCTCCTTGGGCCACTTCTGTTGTCCAAATTTTCTTAGCCATGCGACGATTTCCAATTTCTCCTTCTCATTTCTTTATTAACCCCTTCAAGATTTTAAGCCTCCTTTTGTCAAAAACGGCACTGCATCGAGGGCATAGCATGACCTCTGATCTCTTTTTCTAACACCTATGGAGAAAGTCAATCAGACTCTCTTCCTCCTTTGGGAAATCCACCTTATTGTATTCTTCCTGTCGGTGTTCCTCATCAATCTCCATTGAAGCTCCATGAGAAACTTCGACCATGTTTACGCATGCACCTGTCTTTCCAGTGATGTCCAATTTTTCTAACTTCACTCTAAGGCCCTCAGTAGCCTTAGTAACATTGTCAATCTGCACGAAAACTTCAGTGGTTTCTTTTGATGTTATCGTCGAATTGGGATCTTCAGCCATCCCTTGGTTGGAGTCTTCAATAACTCCTCTAGTAGAACCCTTGATGACTCCGTGGTGAAACTGCCAGTACTTTCTTTGTCGAAACCTTCAATGGTTTCATCGGTGAAGCCTTCAGTGACTCTGCAGATGTAATTATCAATGATTTCTTTGTCAAGATCCTCAGTAACCTGGGCCATGACTGCTCCGTTGACGAAGTCGTCAGTGACTTTGATCATGTCAGGTCTGTTGGCAGGGTCTTCAGTAACCTCGACCAAGTTGATATTGTCGGTGAAGTCTTCAGTAACCTCGACCATGTTGATCATGAACGACTTAGTGTAGTGGGCATCATCCACTTGAAGAGGGTCAGAGTCGATCTTCATCTGGGCTTTCGACTTCTCCCCAAACTTGAGCCTTACGTCCTTAATTTCATTTTGAACTAGATCCCTGAAAAGGAAATATTGAGACGTTTTATGACCCAAGAAATTGTGACACTTACAAAAACCTATCTTTTTTCTTTTTTCTAAAGAAGGCGTCTTAGATCCCGGAGGCACTACCAATTGATCGTCGTTAACTAACAAATCAAATATTTCGTCGCATTTTATGACGTCAAAAGTATAAGTCCTTTTAGAAAATCAATCATTATTTTCTGGTTCGACTGGGTTTCTCCCATTTGAGGGGGTTAAGACTTTACAAGAGTAAAGTGGTCCCTGCTTTAGTTCAGCAAGGTCGACCTCGTTTTTGTCGAAGTCTAAAGACTCGTTATATATTTCTTCGTTGTGTTTAGTAACTCCAACATAAGCTACCCTCTCTTTTCTATTCTTATTTGCCCTAACTTTTTCAGCTTTCAATCGTTCGACTTGTCAAACTTTGTCATCCAGTTAGGCCATATCTCTCAAGTACTGGGTATCCAATTTATTTTTAATTGAGTAGTCGATACCACACGCAGCCATTTCGACCAACTAATGTCAAGGCACTTCAGTAAAGCACCTTGTCTTAAGCCATCGAAACCTATTTAGGTAATCGTCAATTGGCTCTAAGAACTTTCTCTTAATAATAGCCAACTCTTTTAAGCTTATCTTTGTTTGTCCCATATAGAATTGTTCATGGAACCGTCTCTCCAATTGAATCCAATTATGGACCCTGCTGGCAGGGTTGTAAACCAAGTGAAGGCATATTTAGTAAGCGAACTTGGAAAATATTTCACTCTTAGGTTTTCGTTATTTGCGATTTCGCCAGCCTCGATCAAATATCTTGCCACATGTTCGACTGTGGACTCACTAGTATCCCCAGAAAACTTAGTGAATTTGGACTTTCCATCTAGGGGTAAATCTGACTATAAGATATATTTAGATAAGGGTGACTTGTAGTTTGGCCTACGTAGGTCAATATTTACCTTGTTTCTCGCCATAATCCTTTCAACCATGGCTGCCAAGTTGTTATCCGACATTACATCTTTGCGTCGAATTTGGTTTATAACTTCATCAGCATTTTGATTTCTATTTACCACTACTACCCTTGGTTCTCCTTGGATTGGGTGTTCGGCTATGGGAGGTTCGACTACTCCCCCTGGTTTAAAATGTTCGCCTGAGGTATATTTGGTTGAACTTGATTAATTGTAGGGTCTTCCTCTAAAACCACCTCAGTATTTTGTACCATATGATCCCTCTGAGGATTTTGAGGGGTGTGGGACACCAAAGAAGTCAGCAATACGCGTCATTTGCACTGTCAATTACTGGTTAGTTTGGGTAGTATTTTAGATCAAAGGGTTAAATATAACCCCCATTTGTTGGGCAAGCATTTAGACCATGTCATGGTTACTTTCGCCCATTTGTTGCCTTATCACTACTGTAGAATTGCTAGTGATGTTTGGCATATAAGTAGGATATTCAATTCCTAAAGGTTGACTCATTCGACCCATATGGTTTATACCTAACCCAGATCCTTGTAGTGGCGAAGTCACATTCACCACTGGCTCTACAAATGCTGATGAAGCATTGTGCAGACTTGCCATCACCGACGTTGGCATACCATAAGGTTGCTCTCGACTCATTTGAGGCATAGAAAATCCAAGCATATAAGGCCTGAATAGACTATTTCCCACTGGCGGATGGGTCATTTACGGACCATGTGTTCCCATATTGGAAAAACTAGAAACTTTTTTAGGGATCAAGTGCACTGGCATCGAACCTACGATTGATGGTATGGCCTCAGAAACTGATACTGAAACCGTATTGCCCCTAGTCAAAGAGGCAGGGGGCGGCTCTCCATCATTTGGTGGATTTTGATTATTTGGCGGAGTTGGATTCGTCATCCTTCTTACGTATCTCCTTTTAGGCCTCTCTTCGTTACTAATGGTTATTTTACCACTCCTAAGTCTCATGCAACAAAGCGCAGAAAGATTGTAAGAACGAAGTACTTTAAAAAGAAAAAATGTATCACACACTATAGCATTGTCCCACTGGGCGTACCAATTTGTTTACCGTGAAAATTGGTAAGCAAACGTTGGTCTCCAAATATTGGTTAACATGCAGGATCAACCAGTGAATCCTAGGACATGTGCTTAGTGTTTTTATTTTAATGTTTGAGAAATAATGGATGTTCGGACAGCATTCATGTTTAGAAAATAGTTTGCTTCAATGAAATAAAAAAAAAAGATTATGACAAAAAAAAAGGATCGAAAGCACAATAAAATATGCAGAAAGTAACTTGCATAAAAATAAAGACTAACTTCTGGGCAAAATCATAAACTGACTTTTATTAAAATGTAAGCAAATAACTAGTGTTTATCAAACGTACATGTTCTCGACAAACTCGTTTCTCTACACACGGGTACTTTGAGTATTTGAGTGGTTTTGTACAAACTTGAATACACACAAAATTCTAACACTATGACTTCCTATTTATATTGAATCAAAATAACTGCTTATAACGGCTTTTCTCTGAAAAGAAGACAGACTTTCCCGCATACTCCACATGTTCTTCTTTCGAAATCTAGATAAGGACAACATTCTCTCCTTGATTCAAATTCAACACTCAAGTTGAAAATAACATCTGTAACATCCCGTCGAAATATCATTTCAATACTTAAGAAATTTTCCTAAGTCGACTTAGTCATCTTTCCTTTCGTAAAAAACATCTTCGATCGAGCTTCCAACATCGAACTTACCTAGTCGAAATTCAACATAACTTGGCAAAAAAATTCTTTTCTCTTATCTGTTACATGAATTAAACCAGACGTGAAAATTAAGAGTCACACCACCAGACCAACAACAAAATACATATTTTATTTTAATTAACAATTGTCTTTATTTTCAACATAATTATTATTTTCAAATTTTTTTCACAGACCTCTATCATCAAAATACCTATTTTATTTTAGACAAAAAAAAATTCTTATTTTCAAATGTCAAAATTAAATTTATATTATCATCATTCATTTTATAATTAAATAATAACTCATTTTAAATTTACATATATATTTAAATAAAATATATATCATATTAAATAATTTTTTTTGTTAAAATAAAACATCCATTTTGGATCGGAGGGAGTGATACTTCGTTCTAAAGTTATGATATTGTCCACCATTCGATTACTTTCTAAAAATATTTCTATTGAGAACCATGAAAATTAACCTCTTTGTTGCAAATAACAAATACAACCCCGATGAAGGATGTATATTTCTTGAATCGGCCAACTAGGCCAAGTACTGTTATCAATATTAATATTGTTTTCAAAGTTTCACCAGAGTTCAAAATGAAATACATTGCATCATCAATATAAAACAAGACATAGTTAACTGGAATATTGCAATAACAACCAGAAATGAGAATGAATGGGAAATACACAAATATTTAGAATAGCCAAAAATATAAAGGGTTATTAAAACACTTCAGATTAAGGATAAATAAAAATTAATTAATCATAAAGGAAGTTGCTCCTCAGAAAATTAATAAAAATTAATAAATCATAAGGAAGTTGCTCCTTATAAACAGAAAATTTTATCAAGATGACCTGGTTCCTATCATAAAATTGGGTGAAAAGAAGAGATTTTGTTACAAAAAAATTTTAAAATGTAACTATAGACTTCATATCCCATCACAATATGATTTTACAAAAAACTAGCTCCTCTCATAAAAATAAATACAGTTTCATATCCATGAAATTGGCAGAAATTTATTACTCTTAATATCATTAATTTATTCTAAATCAAAATATGAAAAATAAAGAAAACTAATAGAGTAAAATACTTTCAGTTTATTGGTATTTGCTTCGAACTTAAGCAAGGGAATTGAATAGAATCTAGGAGTCTCAGTAGAATATAGAAAACTATAAGCCAACAGCATCACCCTAACCCAACAATAAGTAACATAAGGCACTGCAACTGTATAAAAGCAAAAAAAACAACAGAACAAAATGAAAACTGCATTGAGTCCTTAAAGGGCGACACAGCCATTAAATAATCAAAACTGTTAAATTGCACAAAAAGTCTAAACAATGCATAATATCTTAAACAATACTTGTACTTGCCAAAAGAAAATACAGCTCTCGAAATAAATTGAACATACAATTAATCTTCTTCCTCTCCCTCATTTTCAGCAATGTTGAAATACCTTAACTCATAGATATTCCTATCTTTGTTTGAAGCAATCACTCTTAGCCAATCTCTTACATTGTGTTTCTTCAAGTACTTCTTTGTCAAATACTTCAAATAACTGCAACCAGTGAGATGTTAAACAACATTAGATTATCCAAATCAAAATGAATTAGTTCAAATCAACCAACACAATATTTCCAGTATAGCCCAAAATTGTTATCATAATTTCGATATAGAACAAATAAATTGGGCGGTAAATTCAAAATAGTGCTCATTGACCAACAAGATAACCTTCAATGAATACACACGTCAAATAACATGAAATATAACAACTAAAACTACTACTACAACTAAAGCAATTACAAGGAGGGAACCAATGGTTAGAAAAAAGAGAAAAAAGATTAGAGCAATAGATTCGAGCATGCCAAAAGACAAAAAGTATTAAAAAATGTAATCTCACAAAGTATTAATAACAGGGTGGTTAAACTTCGCGGTCAGTGGAAAATGGTTCTGCTGACAGTTCAGCAGACAGGGGGCAGCGCCGAATTTCGCAACAACACTAGTATACCAACCTTATACACACAACTCATGCATCGCTTACAAACCCTAATCCAATAAACTCCATGATTCCAACCTACTTGTTATCTTAAATAGCCACAGAACAATGGTAACTTATAAAAAAAGCAGAACATAAGGCACATAGTTCAACAATGATCCTAACATTACATAGATGCAAGAGTTCGGTATAAAAACACAGCATAAAATCACGATTGCAACGGAAATTACCGCTTGGAAAAGTTGTTGTCAGAAGTAACGGTGATCTTGGATTTCTCCCGGGTAACGGTAACAGAATCACCTAGGGCACCAGCTTTGCCACCAACCTTGATCCTCTCTTGAAGAAATTTCTCAAGGGAAGCAATGTCCATGATCTTGTCTTCAACTGGCTTAACACAGTCAATGGTGAAGGTTGCACCCTTCTTCTTCCCCTTGGTTCCAGCTGCACTAGCTCGACTCATTTTTCCTTCTCTTATGTGTAAATAACTCTTATGTGTAAATAACTCTTATGTGTAAATAACTGAATCATCAAATCCAAAACAAAAATCAATCACTCATACTCTTCTCACGCCATCAAAGAACAATTACAGTAGAAAATTCACATGAATTAATTGAAATCGATTGAATTTCAATGGAGGATTCGAATTTTTTTATGCTAAACTTAATCACGTAAAACTAAAACTGACAGATTCAAATATGAAGTATAATGATAAATAGTTGGAACTGTAAATGGAGAAGATAAGAGAAATGGCGTTATCGTTCATTCGAGGGAACCGGCGGCGAAGACTGCGAATCGGAGATGAGAGGAGCTTAGATAGAAATTTAGGGTTTGTATTTGTTATCTATATGGTGGGTTTCAGATTGGACCATATATTGGGCTCTTCTAGTATTTTTATATCGTTTAATTCTGATTTTACTCTTTGCACATTGTTTTTTAAGCACACCCTCGTGTAAACTAAAACATTGATTTCTAAAAGTAAGGGGGTAACAAGAGGTTAATGGAGATGCACGCCATTGGGCGATAATGTAAAGTTGTTTTACACCATCAATATATCTTATGTTTTTTTTAAGTAACAATCACAATTAACTCATCTTACATAAAGACAACAAAAGTCGTATTTACAGGTACTTGAGGAAACTCGTCTTGTGTTTAATGAAAAAATATATTTTGGTAAAATATGTTTTTTTCCTAAATTTATATATATATGACACAAATTAATAAATATGTTATACAAAGAGATTTTAAACTATTTGATGATTGTTATCTGTCAGCTAAACCCTGAAAGTTGGACTTACATCAAAGTCTCTCAATATATATATGAGTATCAGAAAAAACAAAACAAAAAAACTTTTTTATTCATTTTCAACCATCTTTTCAAAATACAACGTAGCTCAGTGAACCACGTGTAAGTGTTCGCACGTGTTTTTCGCGCGGACAACCTCTGACCTCCCGACGCGGGTTTACTTGCGGAATCGGTCAAACTAGTCCCAGGACACTTGGTTCTGGGTGTGTGAATTTGTGGTAGATTTGGTGGTTATTCAGATGTGCGTATGATGAAGTTAAGTAAGTAAATATAATGACGCTTCTACTCAAATAAAAAACGAAGAAAAGGGAAATGACATGAAAGTAAAGGCGTCGCTTTCGTAACATAAAAAGACTTGATAAATTTAATTCAAACTGGTAAATACAAGTGAACATGCTCGTACATTTTGTAAGGAATAAAAAACTATTTTTCTCTTAATGTGTGGTACTCGTAGTGTTTTTCTTACACTGTTGTCCAAAAATGCCACTTCCCTTGGAGCCAAGCTTTTCTTTATATAGATAAGTTAAATAATCGTCAGGTTGTTTCCGGTGCCGCCACGTGTCGGGCCACTACTTTTGTAACTTCTTCATGTTCTCCTTTTTTCAAATCCATTTCCCACTAAGCAAAACCCATTCGTCAGCTGCCCCATTTGTTGACCTAATCGATCGTCCTATATCCAAATCGACCCATACGTCTTCTCTTGCGTTGTCGACTCAAAACACATTTCCTTCTTCCTCTACTTTCATGTCGACCTCGACCTTTTCACCTGTCGATACTTTGAGTTGGCTTTTTCAGCCAACAGTAAGTTAAGGACTTAATTACACTGGTGAAAGTTATCTATTATTTACACTGACTATTGGAGAGATCGGTCATATAGACGCTCTTTTGAATTATTAGCATCGCAAATAAAGACAGTTATTACAGGACAATATATGTAATTTGACGCTTTCACATGATACATACTTGCAAGAAATGCAAAAGGATTTTGTTTCTCTTACCATAAGCGGTGGTGCGTTCTGCAGTTTTAAAAAGGAAAGACAAAAATGTAACTTCTGCTCAGGTATTGCTACTGCTACAAAGGAATCTCTTTCATTTGCTCAAGATGATTTTAAAAACTTGTGCCTTGAAAATGTCTCTTTGGCCCAGAAATTAGATAAGGCGCCCAACATCGATCTCGCATCTGTTTTTGAGTCATTTGAGAATGCTTTATTGCAAGTAGAGCATTTTTACTCTCTTTTGTATATTTCAAGGGAGCAAGTAATGTTGGACCAGTTACCTATATATGGGAAGGTTGCTTCGCTCATGAAATTAGTCATGCCTTTATCCAACTTTTTTTTGTAAATACACCACCCAGTAAGAAACGTGAGTATATGAACTTGAAATTAAGATGTTATTGTTACCTGATTAAGGTGTATGTGTTGTATCCCAAGTTAACTGTTATAGGCTTTACTTTAACTTATAAGGTTTTCGCTCGAAGATTTGTTAGACATCTTTAGGGTTGTTCCCAGCCAAGAGTCGGTACCTCTTCCCCCACCCAGCTGAAAATCTAGTATGGGGTTGACTTGTGTAGTCTCATCGCAGTTTTTGAATGGTTAGCTACCAAGATGGGTGGGATAGTTATTTCCAATTTAATGTTTTTCTACTTTCTTTGTGTGTGTATACTTTGCATCGTAGGGTTTTTATTGATTTAGTCATACATATGTGGTGTTTATGACTGTACAACTGAGTCTTTTTGTTGGGGCCTCGATCTCTTATGTCGTACTCTGGACTCGTCGTTACCTTTCACGTTAAAAAAAAAGTGATATTTTAGAAGGATGTTTTGTTCACTAAAATGGAAATATCGTAGTACATTATGATGAGGTAATTTAATATACAAAGAAACAATAACCTAATGAAGTTGTAAACATAACCAGGTGGGCCTGCCAACACTTATTCGCTCTATTTTGTTAGTCTATTGAGTCAACCATTCTTGCTTATTCGACTAGCATGACCTATTCTACCTATGGAATGTTTAATGTTCATGCTCATATTCTACCTATTATAGATGTGATATGTGAAAAGTAAATAACATAGAGTAAAATGGAGATTTTGGTGTTAACACTGAGAAAACTTGCTATGGTAAAGTTCATCATTACGTATCTATCATGCACATCCATAAGTCAGTAATATGCTCTTTTACATGGGTATTAATATTACCACATGTTGCTCACATTTGTATCTCTTTTCGGTATCAACATCGTGAGATCAGTGCATTACTTGATAGTCAATACCTTTATCTATTAGCTAACAAATAACATTAAGTTCTAATATTTACAAAGCAGTAAGACTCCATGCTGATCCATACTATAGTATGTGCGAATATTGAACCTAACCTTATTTCCAAATGTTATTATACAATAGATGATCATGTTGGATCTAGTAATGACAAGCACCTTTTGATGCCAAGCCACACCATGAAAACATGTTTTAAGTAGTGTTGTGAATAGGATGTCTTGAAACAAAATATAAATGGTTTCTTTATAGACAAGAAACACACAAGGGTTGGGGTTAACAAAGAAAACAAGGGAAAACAACAATGATTGGTTATAAACTGCTATTTTTTCCTTTCTCTTTCAAACAAGATTACAAGTATACAAGAATAACAAATAACCTCTCTCTCTTGAATTAGGATTTTATCTTCCTATTTTTCCTTATACCAAGATGAGAGACTAGCATGCAATTTATAAGAGAAATATAACACTAACCTAATGGGATTTTTAACAATTACCCATTACAAGCTAACTTAAGGTACAAGCTAACTTAAACAACTGGGCTTACAAGCAAGGCCCAATTCAACATGCTAATAACCCTAGCAATATTGACTAATGCATGTTAGGATAAACTTCGACTACAACATGCATTACTGGCGAACAGACTTCGACCATACTAGAGTTTGATCCAATATCTCACAAATCTCACCTTGGATCTAACTCTATAACATCAAAAAACTAGCTTTTTTCATGCAGCTTTATCAACTACATACAATGGAAAAACTTGCAACTGGGAAACATCTTGGCGATCATATCAGCAGCATTATGGTCTGTCGAAACCTTCACCACTTGAACTTCTCCACGCTCGATTACCCCTCGGACGAAATGCAACCTCACATCAATATGCTTGGTTCGCTCATGATAGGCTGAATTCTTCGACATGTGTATTGCACTTTGAATATCACATTTAACAGTGATAACTCGACCTTGAAGTTTTAGCTCCTTAGCAAAACCTTAAATTCATAATGCTTCCTTCACAACTTCAGTTAGGGCGATATATTTCGCTTCAATTGCTGCTTTACTATCTTCATCCAAGGCTCCACCATAAAGTAGGACTCTATCCAGAGACCCATTTATGTACCTTAGAATCCACTTCAATGCTTTCCAAGGAGCCTTTCAAGGATTCACCATGTACCTGCTTACTGAACTTACTGCATATGTTATGTCGGGTCTAGTACAGACCATAACATACATCAAAGAACCTAATATATTAGCATATGGAATGATATTCATATAAGCTTTTTTGACATCAATGATGGGACACTGATCTATACTTAGCTTGAATTGAGGGTTTGTCGGAGTCACAACAGGCTTTGAATTCGACATACCAAACTTTTCGAGAATCTTTCGTAGGTATGCCTCTTGTGATAAGCATAACTTCGACTGCTTTCTATCTCTTCAGATGTCAATCCCAAGAATCCTAGATGTGGCTTCCAGATCCTTCATGCCTAACTCTTTATTGAGTTCATCCTTCACCCTCATTACATTTTCGACATTGTTGTTTGCTATTATAATATCATCCACATAAAGTAACAGAATAACAAATGAATTACTAGGTCAAAATTTGAAGTAAACACAATGGTGGAACTGACTTCTGATGAAACTTATGCGTGCCATGAACTTATCGAATCTCCTATTCCATTATCAAGGAGATTGTTTTAGTCCATATAAAGATCTATTCAGTTTATGCACATAATCTTCCTTCCCTTTTTCGACATACCCTTCAGGTTTCCTCATAAGGATTGTTTCATCTAGATCACCATACAAGAATGCAGTATTCACATCCATCTGTTCCAGTTCAAGGTTGAACTGGGCCACCGTGACAAGTAACATTCAAATGGATCTGTG